ATATATATATATACACACAAATACATATATATATATATATATATATATATATATATATATATATATATATATATATATAATAACAATAATAATAAATTTTATTTCAGATCGCCTTTCAAAAACCCATGGTCACCTTACAAAAACAATTAAAATCAGCAATTAATAAAAACAGAATCAACAAATAATTAAAAATAAGTCACAATAAAACAACACTTCAAACAAAGTTAAAGAGAATATGCCTGTTTAAACAGGTGTGTTTTCAGTTGTGATTTAAAAGAGGGAAGAGAGTCTGTGTTCCCAATGACAGGAGGGTGGGAGTTCCAGAGCTGAGGAGCACAGCGACTGAAGGCTCTGTTCCCCATGGTGATGAGACTGGCAGAAGGAACAATAAAATGAGTGGCAGATGAGGATTTGAGGGAACGGGAAGCAGTGGAGATGTGAAGCAGATCACACAGGTAAGGAGGTATGGATGCACTTGAATGTGAGAGTTAAGATTTTAAAATTTATTCTAGCTTCCATGGGCAACCAGTGAAGCTGCTGCAGAACCGGGGTGATGTGTTCTCTGAATGGGGTACAAGTTATGACCCGAGCTGCAGAATTCTGGAGGAGTTTGAGTTTATGGAGAGTCTTATTCGGGAGACCAAAAAGAAGAGAGTTGCAATAATCAATCCTGGAGGTGATAAGGCTATGGACAAGGATGGCAGCAGCATGAGGAGTAAGAAAGGGACGAATTCGGTTGATGTTACGTAAATGAAAGTATGCAGACCGGGTGATAGAGTTAATATGAGATTGAAATGAAAGCGTATTATCAAGTATGACACCCAGACACTCTACCTGAGGGGAAGGAAGAACATGGGAGTTGTCAATATTGATGGAAAAACTTTGCAATTTGGTTAAAGTGGAGACTGTGCCAACAAGTAAAACTTCTGTTTTCTTACTGTTGAGTTTAAGAAAATTTGAGGAAAACCATGATCTAATTTCCATAAGACAGTCCGATAGGGAGGAAGGTGGAAGAGATTAATTAGGTTTTGAGGAAATGTAGAGCTGGGTGTCATCTGCGTAACAGTGAAAGTTGACATGTTTCCGGAATATGTGGTCAAGAGGGAGCATATAAATAGTAAATAAAAGGGGCCCTAATACAGAACCCTGGGGCACACCTGCAGCAACGGGAAACAAACTTGAGGAATGGGTTTTAAATTGAATAAACTGAGTGCTGCCTGAAAGAGATGAATTAAACCAAGCAAGTGGAGTATCACTGATGCCAATGGATGCTAGACTGTTCAGGAGGATATTATGAGAAATATTGTCAAATGCCGCACTGAGATCAAGGAGGATGAGTATGTTGAGGAGACCAGAATCAGCTGCCATCAAAAGGTCATAGGTATATAAAGGTATATATATATATACAAACCGGATTCCAAAAAAGTTGGGACACTAAACAAATTGTGAATAAAAACTGAATGCAATGATGTGGAGATGGCAAATGTCAATATTTTATTCGTAATATAACATAGATGACAGCTCAAAAGTTTAATCTGAGTAAATGTAACATTTTAAAGGAAAAATATGTTGATTCAAAATTTCACAGTGTCAACAAATCCCAAAAAAGTTGGGACAAGTAGCAATAAGTGGCTGGAAAAAGGAAATTGGTCATATAACGACCAGCTGGAAGAACAATTAACACTAATTAGGTCAATTGACAACATGATTGGGTATAAAAAGTGCTTCTCAGAGTGTCAGTGTCTCTCAGAAGCCAAGATGGTAAGAGGATCACCAATTCCACCATTGTTGCGCAGAAAGATAGTGCAGCAATACCAGAATGGTGTTACCCAGTGTAAAATAGCAAAGACTTTTAAGTTATCATCATCAACCGTGCATTACATTATCAAAAGATTCAGAGAATCTGGAACAATAGCTGTGCGTAGGGTCAAGGCCGTAAAACTCTACTGGATGCTCGTGATCTCTGGGCCCTTAAACGTCACTGCACCTCAAACAGGAATGTCACTGTCAAGGAAATAACAGAATGGGCTCAGGAATACTTCCAGAAAGCATTGTCAGTGAACACAATCCACCTTGCCATCTGCCGTTGCCAGCTGAAACTCTACAATGCAAAGAGGAAGCCATTTCTAAGCAAGCTCCACAAGCTCAGACGTTTGCACTGGGCCAGGGGTCATTTAAAATGGAGTGTGGCAAAATGGAAGACAGTTCTATAGTCAGATGAGTCATGATTTTAAGTTCTTTATGGAACACTGAGATGCTATGTCATCCGGAAAAGAGAGGACAAGGATAGCCCAAGTTGTTATCAACGCTCCGTTCAGAAGCCTGCATCACTGATGGTATGGGGTTGCATGAACGCTTGTGGAATGGGCAGCTTGCATGTCTGGAAAGGCACCATTAATGCAGAGAATTATGTTCAGGTTCTAGAACAACATATGCTCCCATCTAGACGTCATCTCTTTAAGGGAAGAC